TTGAGGAGAGGGGCCCCGTGCCCGCCCCCCCTGTCCCCCGGCTCCGAGCGCCTTCCGAGCGGCCCAGGCCTCTCCTGGGGGCCGCGGGTTTGGGGGCCTGCAGGGAGCAGAGGGCAGGAGGGGCTGGACCCTGTGTAGGAGGGAAAATGCAGGAGAAGGAAAGTTCCCCGCTCCTGGTGAGCAGAACAGCCCTTGGTGCAGGGCCGTGCGCTGCCCTCTGCCCACAGTGCCACCCTGGCACTCGCTGCCTTCCCTTGGCCAACGGTGCAGGGTGGGCTCTGCCTGGAAATTTGCGTTACACGGATGTATTATAACACAGTATGGAAAGAAGAGGATTCTTCCATATTATCTTTGTTTTGGGGGTCTCACAAATATTTTTTTAATTGAAAACCGTGCTTAAATGCCGCGGTAGAACTGCCTGCCCGTCAAGTGCCAGTCACGGCGGGGAGCGTGGCACTTCTCCGGGCTAATTGGCGGCGGGTTGTGCCGTGCGCTCTGCGCGCAGCGCGATGCAGATCCGCGCGCAGCCTGCGCCGAGGTGCGGGGGAGAAAGGCAGCCTCGTAACTAGGTCCTGGCTGGAAATGTAAAGTAGGTGTCTCCATAATGGATTGTGTTGTTTCGTGATGAGATGACACCGATATAATCGCTGGCCCCCTGCACAGCGTTCCCAATTATTGCAGGAAAGCACTCGGCATTATGCTCTGCGCTGGGCTGGCTCGAAGCAAGCGAGCGAACCCGGGCGCCCAGCGAGAGCCGTGGGGCAGGGCAGCCCGTCCGCTCCGCTCCCAGCACGTCCCTTCCTGCAGAACCCCCCGTGCCGGCGCGTCCCTGCATGTCCTCCCGCCCTCCGTCCCTTCGCTCACGCGCCGGCGGGTCACCAGGCCCCCCGTAAACTGTGTCCTGCCACCCATGAGATTTCTGAGAAAGCCTTCAAGCTCCTCAGGAGCTGCTTGCTTTAAAAAAGACTCGAAAGGCTCATGCGGGCGCCTTGACGTTTGCTTTCTTGTCCCCCAGGACACAGCCCTACCGGGCCCTGAAGGAATCGGACAGCGCCGATGGTGAAGAGGCCGCCAGCCCGGAGCAGGGCCGAGGGGCTCCGGCGCCCAGGCGCCCCCCCCCGGGGC